GTACCAACGATGTTGGAAAATGCTCTTCCTCCAAGCTCCGTCTTCAGCGGCCCCTATACAAGGATGCATTTCCACCGAGGGAAGTGTCCCGTTGGGGGACGACCGACGACGAAGGCCATGCCGCCGACGCCGCTGGAAGCCACCAGAGGCCCAGCTGAGTCCTCCTGACGTCAGCAGCAGGTCCCCCCAGGGGGCCCGTGGAGGCCCCCAGGGCAGTAGGATGGGCATGTTGGGTTCGAGCCCCGCATTGATCCACTCTTGCTATGGTCGAGAATTTTGGCTTGCCTGTCGCGGCGCGGGTTTTGGTCCATCACGCGCCGGCGCGTCACGTTATCCATGTCCCAGCCCCCGAGGGTCAACTTCCCCCAGCCTCCCGCCCCGCGGAGCGGAGCGACACGCTATCAGTTTGCAAGGCATAGCGTGTCACAAGGGCCGCCGCCGCGACACGCTAAGCACAAGTTTTCGACCGCGTGTGTGTGTGTGTGCATGTGTATTTTTTGTTGATTTAAACTTTTGTTTTCCGTACCCCCCCTGCTCAAGGCGTCTCCTGGAGGGGGCCTCTTCCCCCCCGGGGTCAGGGCTCGAGGTTGGCCGGCGCGGCCTGGGCGGCGCGACAGGGCCGCGAGCCGCGGCCGCCGCCGCCGCCGCCTCGGCTTGTCTGCCCGCGGCGGCGCCGGGCTGGCCGGGGGCCCTGGCGCTGGCGGCGCCGCGAGCTCTGCCGCGGCCGCCGCCTGCACCGCGGCCGCGGCCGCCGCCGCCGTGGAGACCCCGGCGGCGCGGCGGCGGCGTCAGCGGTGTGCTGTTGCTGCCTGCGGGCGCGGGCTCTGCTGCCGCCCCTCTGCGCCGCGGCTGCCGCGGGCGCCGCGGGCGCTCCCCTCGCCGCGGCGGCCCCCGTTGCCGCGGCGGCCCCGCCGCCCCGCGCGACTCGCCGCCGCTGGCCGCCGCGGGCGGCGCGCGCGCGCCGCCGGCGCACTGCGCGTCGCGGGCGCCGCCTGCGCCGCGGGCGCCAGGGGCGCCGCGGGTGCGGCCGGCCCTTCGGGGGCCGCCGGCCCCGCCGGCGCTGCGGGGGCCACGGGCGCCGCTGGCGTCGCGTGCGAGGCCTGCTCCGCGGGCCTCGCTGCCGCCGCGGCCGCTGCCGCGGAGGCCGCCGCGGAGGCGCCTGGGCCGCTGGCGCCGCGCGCGGCGTGCTGGTCCAGTGCGAGCTGCGCTTGCAGGACCCCGCGAACTTATGGGACCCTGTCGGGCTCGCGGCGGATGGTAGCACGGAGGACTTCGCCAGGAGGCGCCAGGCGGAGCTCCAGCTCGGATGGCGGGGTCACGGATTCACTGGAGGAGCTCATCTGCCGAGTATTTTTTTTTGTTATGTTAATGGTGGGGGCCGTGTGGACGTGGAGTCTAGGGATCATCTTCCTTCCCCTGCCTCGGCTCCCCTCCCCCCCGCCTCCTCCCCTTCGCCTCCCCCCCCCCCTCCCCTCCCTTCCCTCCTCCCTGTCCCCCCCTCCCCCCCCTGGATGGATGATCCCCCGACTGTGAGGACGGAGGCCTCCCCCTGTGGGGCTCGTTCTGGGCTGGCTGTCTCTCGTTTGGGCCGTGGAGGAGGAGGAGGGGTTTTCCCTTGTGCTTCTGTTTCGATTCACCGTCAGTAGGTGTCAGAGGTAAACAGGTATCCTTGTACCCACGTGTCTGGGCTTCACCATTCTGAGTCTAGACAAATATGATTTAGAAATCTATTTGTATTGCTGCGCTGGTTGTGTGTCCTTTTGTCCGCGCCAAGGAGGCGCTGGGATGGTCGGTGTGCCGAAATTGGTTAAGTGCCCCCTGTGTGTCCGGGTGGCACCGTTGTCCCAGCCACCTTCACGGCGCCTCCTGTCTGTGGGGCCGTGGCAGGCGGCCGACATCACAGGGCCGGAATGGCGTGACCCTCACCACCCCGCGCCCTGCTCCTGGGGCCGCGGCGCCCGGTCGAGGGGTGGCCGCCTCGACTGGCGCGTCCACAGACCGCCGAGACGGACAGGAGGTGCTGCGCTTTTCTGTTTTCGTGCGCAGATGAATATGTCGACCCACGGATGCCCAGGCCTCCCGGCCGGGTCGTGGGGCAACGGGTTGGCTACATGGGATGGAGTGACATCTATGACACTCAGATCTGCTGCTCGAGCCGACGCGGCAAACCCATGCACTGCACAGCAGATGGACTCCGTGTCCACTGTGCGCATTGCCCCTTGGGTTTCTGGTTCCCTTTGCGTTTTGGCTCATGGCTCCTGCCAGGGCGGGGGGGCGTCGCTCGACAGTCACTGGGCCGGGGGCGGTTGATGTCTCCGGGCATCTCCCCTGGCCACACACTGGTCATTTGCGCTGGGGGGCGCCTGACCATCGCACCCTGGTGTCAGTGGAGCGCGCGGTACTGTGTGGCGTTTCGCCAGTCCTACGGTGTCCACCTCGCGTGTCCGAGCGGACCATGGAAGCCGTAGTGGCCGGTGCCGTTGGGGGGGCCGAGGGGGGCCTCAAGGGGGGAACGGGGGAAACGCGTCCGCAGACTGCAAGGGGGAACTCCCGCGTGTGTTGGTGTGAGAAGTAGTATTACTGTGGGCTTTCGCTCGGTTGCCCGTGCCGCCTTCGCCTTCGGGTCACCCATTGTGCCAGGGCTCGGTCTTGAACCGGGTCCTTCGAGTGGGGGTCTTGTACTCCGATGGCAAGTGACGTAGCCGGGGAGGGGCCGCAAACTGAGACTAGTAAAGATAGCGGGAGAGCCTTCCCTCGCGACGCGGGGCGGGGGGCCTCGGAGCTTAGAGTCACAGGGTGTACGGAGCCACGACGCACGTGGCCCCGGACCTTCTTGGCCTGGGTTCTCGCGTTGAATACAGCACAGTGGTGCGTCCCGTGGGCTTTTTCTCCCTCCCACCCACCTTTCTTTTTTCTGTTATCTATTGGGGTCGTGGAGTGCCGTCGCTCGGTTGCAGGCGCCGCCTTCGCCCTCGGGTCACCCTCTGCGCCGGGGCTCGGTCTCGCACCGGGTCTCTTTGGGTGGGGGACTTCTAAGAAGTCCCCGTTGGCAAGTGAAGCAATCGAGGTCGGTATGTGTTTAGAATTTTCATCATCTTGTGCGCGGTTGGTACGTCCCGTGGTCTTTTTCACCATCATGTGCGCGGCTTCGAGGCGAGCAGGTCACTTTTTTTGATGTTTGTGGAACCATGAGTAGGTTAGCTCCTGTCTGTCACGTGTGTCAAAGTTTGATTTCCTTGATGGGGTTTTATGCTATTCCCCGTGTCCAAATGATGGGGTTCTTGTTATTCCCCGACCGCGGCGGACAGGTCCATGCGAGTAGATGCGCGTACGAGGAGCACCACGCACACATGATGTTCACGTTGCATGCCATGGTTGTCGGGGTCTTCTCTGTTTGCATATTTGTCCTTTTCGTCAGCCCCCCCTTATCACCCCCTCATGAGGCCTCTCCCCCCTGCTTTTTCGCCCCCCCTCGTTTGTGAACGTCCCGTCTATGAGGTTTTGCTTCTTTTTGCGCCCCCCGCGTCCTGAGAGGTGGACGAGGGCCGCCGTCCGGGCTTGCACATCCTCGACCACCACCACCACCACCACCACCATGTAGACGACGATGGGGCACATCATGCCCGAAATCACCAGCAAGCTGCCCGTCTACTTCTCGCCTCCTGCCAGCCTGAAGGTCGCGGACATCCCGTGCGGGCTCGAGGCGATCTCCCAGGCCTCTGCGGCGGGCTGCGTGCAGATTGTGGCCTTCGGCATGTTCTGTGAGCTGCCCCAGACCCAACCCGCCGAAACCATTGCCGCCGCAGGCGACGTCGGATTCCAGGCGTTGGCGCCCAGTGATGCCGATGAGGTGCAGAAGAAGAATCCGGCGACCGAGGTCGCCAACGGATGCCTGGCCACGATGGCTCTCATCGAGACGGCGCTCCAGGACCGCGTGACCTGCTCCGCGCGGGGCGACTGGACCCTTCACACCAGATCCCCGCGGCTCACGTTCGATAGCGAGCTGGGCATGCAGGACTCCGGGGGCCTCTGGGGCCCTGTCGGGGTCACTGCGGACGGTAGCACGGAGGACCTCTCCAGGAAACGCCAGACAGAGCTCAAGCGCGGCCGCGCAAGCACGCTTCCGACGATGGGGTGCATCATGCCCACAATCCCCAGCAAACTATCCGACTACTTCTCACAATCTGCTGGTTGGAAGGTCGCGGACATAGCGGACGGGCTCGAGGCGATCTCCCAGGTCTCCGCGGAGGGCTGGGTGCAGATTGTGGAGTGCGGCGCGTTCCGCGAGCTGTCCCAGACCCAATCCGCCGACCCCGCTGCCGCCGCAGGTGACGTCGGCTCCACGGTGCTGACGTCCAGTGCCGGCGAGGAGAAACAGAAGAAATCGACGGCGGAGATCGCCAACCGCTGCCTGGACCAGCCCGCTGGCTCCGCCACCGCCACGGGCAACCCCGTCCTCGAGGTGCTGACACGCGCGGCGACGGTCGGGATAAGCAGACAAAAATCGCGGCTGATCTCTTCAACGGTCGTCAGACCACGATGGCCATCATCGGCATGGCCATCCACGCCATTCTGCGGGCTGGAAGGCCGAGGCAGGCGAGCCCTGCCTCCAGGTGCCAACGTCCATCGACGCCAGGGATAAGCAGAAGAAGCTAGCGTCCGAGATCGCCAGCACTCGTCTGGCCAAGATCGCGATCATCGGCATGCGCATCCATGGCGGCTGGGCCTGCTCCACGCGCGGCGCCCGCATCCCCCGCGCCAGATCCCTGCCGTTCACGGCGGGCGTGCAGGGCCCCGTCGTCCATTGGGGCCCTGCCGAGGTCAAAGCGGAGGGCGGCGCCCGGGGTCCCAGGGAGATACTTCCTATGCTGTTGCAGACCTCGCCGAGAGCCTCCCCGGGGCGCCTGGATCGTCCCGCCCTGGTCCTTGCCCCCCCCCGACGGAGGGGGCGAGAAACAGAAGACGTCGACGGCGGGGATCGCCGACGCCCCCCCGGCCATCACTGCGCACCTCGCCGAGAGCTCTCCCGGGGTGCCCGGCTCGCCCCTTCAGGCTCTGGCCACAGAGAAGCACCCCCCCGACGGAGGAGACGATGACCAGAGACTGTTGGAACCGCCGGCGCCCCCCCAACCAGGATTGGTTGCGACCCTCGGGACAACGACTTTGAGTCGCCCTCTCAGGTGTCAGCACGCCCTCCGCGCGCCGGGGTGCTTCCTTCACTGGATGCGCCCCAGGCCGCGGGGAGGGCGCCAGTATCTCCCGACGGTGCACCTATTCGGTGTCCCCCCTGTTCTGTTCACTTGAACCCCCTCGACATGCTCGGTGGTGTGAAGGACGACGTGGATGGGCGGGGGCCCTCCGCTACCCCTACTCAGGCAGCGGGCCCCGGGCTTGGCTCCGACCCCCTTCTTGCCGCCGTCACCCCGCCAGCGGCCGACGCTGGCGCTGGAGTCTCGAGCAAACCGAGCGGTGCGTGCTGCCTGAATGACCGCCAACACACTGTTTTTGAGCCGCCCTCTCAGGTGTCAGCGCGCCCTCCGCGCGCCTGGGTGCTTCCTTCGCTAGGTGCGCCCCGGGCCGCGGGGAGGGCGCCAGTATCTCCCGACGGCGCACCTATTCGGTGTCCCCCCTGTCCTGTTTACTTGAACCCCCTCGACATGCCCGGTGGTGCGAAGGGCGACGTGGATGGGCGGGGGAAGGACAGCAAGGACCGCCAAGACATCGTTTTTGAGCTGCCCTTGCAGGTGTCAGCGCGCCCTCCGTGCGCCGACTTCCTTCGCCGCGCGCGCCCCGTGCCGTGGGGAGGGCTTCTCGGTCTCCCGTCGATGCACCTATTCGGTGTCCCCCCTGCCCCGCCGCCTGCTGCCTGGGCCCCGGCGCCGCCGATGATGATGCTGACGATGCTGATGACGACGCCGATGTTGATGATTGTGATGCTGGTGGTGTCGATGATGGTGTCGATGATGCTGATGCTGGTTAGGATGGTGAGGATGTTGATATGTCTGATGCTGCTGCTGCTGCTGATGTTGATGATGTTTGCTGCTGCTGGTGATGATGAGGATGTGGCTGAAGGCGCTGCTGATTATGGTGATGGTGATGGTGATGGTTGTGATGATGATGCTGATGTTGCTGGTGATTGTGACGATCATGGTCATCATGATGACCAGAACGACGATGACGACGATGACGATGGTGCTGATGATGATGATGATGATGGTGATGGTGACGATGGTGCTGCTGATGCTGCCGACGACGACGGCGGCGACGACGACGTTGATGATGATAATGCTGACGATGATGACGATGATGATGATGATGATGATGATGATGATGATGATGATGATGATGATGATGATGATGGCGATGGTAATTATGATGGCGATGGTAATTACGATGGCGCATCTGATGATGATGATAATGGTGATGGTGACGATGGTGATGCTGATGCTGCCGACGACGACGGCGGCGACGACGACGTTGATGATGATGATGATGATGATGATGATGATGATGATGATGATGATGATGATGATGATGATGATGATGATGATAATGCTGACGAAGATGATGATGGCGATGGTAATTATGATGGCGATGGTAATTACGATGGCGATGGCGCATGAGCTGGCCATGATGATGCTGATGACAATATTGACGGTGATTCTGCTGATGCTCATGAAGATGATGATGCTTATGATGGCGATTATGTTGTTGTTGATGATGATGATGATGATGATGATGATGATGATGATGATGATGATGATGATGATGGTGATTATGATGCTGCTGCTGATTGTGATGGTGCTGATGATGTTGATGACGAGGAGGAGGATGAGCAGGAGGAGGAGGAGGACGAGGACGCATGCATGACGCTGGGTGTGCTCTGCGAGGAGGAGGAGAGGGAAGAGGGATTAGGGGGAGGATGAGGAAAATCAAGAGGAGGAGAAGGAGAAGGAGGCGGAGGAGGAGGAGGACGAGGAATTGAAATGAGAAGGATGAGGATGAGGATGAATATGAGGAATAGTAGGAGGAGGAGGTGGAGGAGGAGGAGGAAGAGGAGGAATAAAACAAATAATAAAAACAAGAGGAGGAGGCGGAGGAGGAGGAGGAGGATATTGATTTGGGAATGGGGAGGAGGAGGAGGAGGAGGGGAGGAGGAGAGGAGGAGGAGGAGGAGGAGGAGGAGGAGGAGGAGGAGGAGGAGGAGGAGGAGGAGGAGGAGGAGGAGGAGGTGGAGGAGGAGGAGGAGGAGGAGGGAGGAGAGGAGGAGGAGGAATAGGAGGAGGAGGAGGAGGAGGAGGAGGAGGAGGAGGAAGTGGAAGAGGAGGAGGAGGAGGAGGAGGAGGAGGAGGAGGAGGAGGAGGAGGAGGAGGAGGAAGGTCTCACTCATCTTCCCCCCAAGGGGATCCGATGGTCCTCTTCGAGCGCGCCTGGCGTGCGATGATTGAGCAGTTATCCCTGCCGACGATCGCCATCGCGGGCTCTGCAGCGATCCACGCGGCGCCCGGGCTGAAAGTCGCCGTCGTCGTCGTCGTCGTCGTCGTCGTCGTCGTCGTCGTCGTCGTCGTCATCGTCTTCCCCCTCCTCACCGCGCCTCCGTCCACTTCTCCTCCTCAACCGACTCTTTCTCCTCCATTTTCCCTCCTGCTCCTCACAACATAGTGGCCCCCCCGCTCCCGGCAGTCGCTGCGACACCCCCATCTTCGGAACTGTTTGCCAGCACTGCGGGTTCAGTTCCCCTGGTGATTATGCCCAATTAGCCTAAGCCTGCGGTCGTTTTTTTCGGCGTGGGCGATTCAGCCGACTAGGCACGAGTCCCCCGCCTTTCTCATTCTCGGGTCTGGCTCGTAATATTCGCTTGTTGTCGGTGCAGGCATCCGCGCAGTCCCCCCCTGGCCTGCGTGGCCGATGCGGCCAGACCATCGCAAGCCGCCGACGACCCGCGGTCCAGGATGGGCCAAGGTGGTGTGGCTGAGGACAGTCCCCCAATTCTCGTCGTCCCCTGAAGGGTGCTGTGACACGCTCTGCGACGCTACTCGCGCCACCCTGATCGCCAGGGCCAGCCTGGATAGGAGCAAGCCTTGCCACAGCACGATGTCGTGCGGCCCCAGCCAACTCTCCGCTTTGCCAGCTGGGCGGGTGCTAAAGACATGCTAGTGTATTTGTTTGTTGGTGCGGGGTCGACACTTTGAGAGCATGTTGTGCGTACGGCTTTCGCCAAGCATGTCAAAGCTGATAGTCGCGAACAGCCACGACAATGCAGAACACACCCTCAGCAGCACGATGCACATTGGGGCCCCTCCAGAAACGCGCCATGCAAGAGTGATGTGGTTTCCCGTGCGTTCGACGGTGAAGTATCCAAGCCACACCTCCCTCACCGCCACACGTTCACCGTTCCTCCGTCCTCAACCCTGCACTCCTACCTCCACCTCTCTCTTCATCCCTGTTCCATCCGCTCTCCTCCCTCATCCTTCCCTCCCAGTCCTCTTCCTCCTCATCATCCTACTGCTCCTCCTCTCCTCCTCCTCCTCCTCTTCCACCTCCTCCTCCTCCTTCTCATCATCAAAATCATTATCATCATCATCACCACCATCGTCATCGTCATCGTCATCATCTTCATCGCCATCACCATCCATATCATCAGCATCAGCATCACCATTAACATCACCACCATCGTCATCGTCATCATCTTCATCGTCATCATCATCACCTTCATCAGCATCAGCATCACCATTAGCATCATCAACATCGTCATCATCATACTCATCATAAGCATCATAAACATCATCATCAGAATTATCATCATCATTATCATCATCATCACCATCATTCTCATCCTCATTTTCATCAGCATCATCATCCTCTTTCTTCTCCCTCATCCATTGTGCACTCACTCATTATAGCTCCTCCTCGTTCTTCTCTGCCTCCTCCTCCTCCTCCTGCTGTTCCTCTCCGTCCGTCCTCCCCTCCCCTCCCCTCCCCATCCCGCTCCCCCTCTTCCTCCTCAGATTCCTCGAATTCCCGACTGTTCCACCAAGGGGAGGGGGACGGGGGAGGAGGAGGAGGCGGAGGAGGAGGAGGAGGAGGAGGAGGACGAGGCGGAGGAGGAGGAGGAGGCGGAGGAGAAGGAGGAGGAGGCGGAGGGGGAGGAGGAGGAGGAGGAAGAGAAAAGGAGTTGGAGAAAAGGAGCATGAGAAAAGGAGGCGGAGAACATGATGAAGCTGATGCTGATGATGATGACGATGATGATGCTAATGCTGATGATGATGTTGCTGCTGATGATGATGATGCTGATGATGATGATGATGATGCTGGTGCTGCTGATGATGATGCTGATGATGCTGATGATGATCCTGCTGATGCTGATGCTGATGTTGTTGACGATTATGATGATGACGATGATGATGCTGATTCTGATAATTCCCTACCTAGGCTCTGTCTAGAAGGGTTCTTACTCTCTGGGCTTAAAGGGGCCGGGCAGTGGAAAGCGCCCCGGGCGGTTCCCCCAGTATCCGCCCGGCGGTTCCCCCATTTACGTCCCCTTAGCTTAGCGTTGCTTATCTCATCATAGCTTAGCTTATTTCATCTTAGCTTAGCTTAGCTTCATCTTAGCTCAGGTTTATCTTAGCCCAGCTTACCTTCATCTTAGCTTCGCTGCGCTTCAGCATAGCAGAGCACAGCATAGCATAGCATGGCGTAGCATAGCATAGCGCAGCACATCATATCATTGCATAGCCCAGCATAGCATAGCATAGCGCAGCATAGCATAGCATAGCATAGCATAGCGCAGCACAGCATAGCACCGCATAGCACAGCGCAGCATATCATAGCATAGCATAGCATAGCAGAGCATAGCATAGCATAGCGCAGCTTAGCATAGGATAGCATAGCATAGCTTAGCATAGCACAGCGCAGCATGTAGCATAGCTTAGCATAGCATAGCATAGCATGGCATAGCATAGCATAGCGCAGCATAGCATAGCATAGCATAGCATAGCGC